AGAAGTAGAAATACCAGTATTATGGTAAATAGCAGTGGTGAGAGTGGACATCCCTGTCTTGTTCCTGACCATAGAGGAAAAGCTCTCAGTTTTCCCCCATTGAGGATGATACTGGTCTTTCACGTACGCCCTTTATGATGTTGACGTATGTTCCCTCTATCCCTACTTGGTTGAGGGTTTTTATCAAGAATGAAGGCTGTGGGGCACCTGGGTGGCTCCATCAGTTGAGCATCCAGCTCTTGATTTCAGCTCAGCTCATGATCTCAGGGCCATGAGATTGATCCCCGTGTTGGGCTCATGCTCAATGCGGAGTCTGCTTGCCCCTCTCCCTCCCCTTTACCCCTCCTGTGTCTCTCTCTCTCTCTCTCTCTCTCTCTCTCTGTCTATCTATCATCTATCATCTATCTATCTATCTATCTACCTATCTATCTATCTATCATCCATCTATCATCTATCTATCTAAAATAAATAAAATCTTTTCTAAGAAAAAGAATGGATGCTGTACTTTGTCAAATGCTTTTTCTGCATCTATTGAGAGGATCGTATGGTTCCTGTCCTTTCTTTTTTTAATGTGGTGTATCATGTCGATTGATTTGTGAATACTGAACCACCCTTGCAACCCAGGGATAAACCCCATTTGATTGTGGTGAACAATTCTTTTAATGCACTGTTAGATCTTATTAGCTAGTATCTTGTGGAGAATTTTTGCATCCATGTTCATCGGGGATATTGGCCCGTAGTTCTCTTTTTCAGTGGGGTCTTTGTCTGGTTTTGGAATCAAGGTAATGCTGGCCTCGTAGAATGAGTTTGAAAGTTTTCCCCCCATTTCTATTTTTTGGAAGTGTTTGAGAAGAATAGGTATTAACTCCTCTCTAAATGTTTGGTAGAATTCCCCTGGGAAGCCATCTGGTCCTGGACTTTCATTCGTTGGGACATTTTTTATTACGGACTGAATTTCTTTGCTGGCCTGTTCAAGTGATCTAGTTCTTCCTGTTTCAGTTTTGGTAGTTTATATGTTTCTAGGAACTTATCCATTTCTTCCAGATTGCCCAATTTTTTGGCATATAACTTTCCATAATATTCTCTTACAATTGTTTGTATTTCTGTGGTGCTGGTTGTGATCTCTCCTCTCTCATTCGTGATTTTATTTATTTGGGTCCTTTCTCTTTTCTTTTTGATAAGTCTGGCTAGGGGTTTATCAATTTTATTAATTTTTTCAAAGCACCAGCTTCCAGTTTCATTGATCTATTTTACTGTGGGGGTTTTTGTTTGTTTCTATATCATTTATTTCTGCTCTAATCTTTATTATTTCCCTGCTTCTGCTGGCTTTGGGCTTCATCCTATATTTATAGGAGCATTATCAACAATAGCCACATTATGGAAAGAGCCCAAATGTCCATTGACTGATGAATGGATAAAGAAGTTGTCACTACACACACACACACACACACACACATATATAATGGAATATTATATATATTATATATATATAATATAATATATATACATTTGCAATGATGTGGTTGGAGCTAGAGAGTATCATGCTAAGCAAAATAAGTTAGTCAGAGAAAGACACATACCATACGATTTCACTCATAGGTGGAATTTAAGAAACGTAACAGATGAACATGGGGGAAAAAAGAGAGAGGTAAACCACAAAACTTAACTCTCTTCTTTACTACAGAGAACATCCTGAGGGTTGCTGGAGAGGGGAGGTTGTTGGGGGGATGGGTTAAATGATTGATGGAGATTAAGGAGGGCATTTGTTGAGATGAGCACTGGGTGTTGTATGTAAGTGATGAATCACTAAATCCTACATTTGACACTAATCCGACACTGCATGTTAGCTAACTGGAAATTTTTGTAAGATTTTATTTATTTATTTGACGGAGAGATATAGCGAGAGAGGGAACACAAGCAGGGGGAGTGGGAGAGGGAGAAGCAGGCTTCCCGTGGAGCAGGGAGCCTGATGTGGGCCTTGATGCCAGGACCCCGGGATCATGACCTGAGCCGAAGGCAGACGCTTAACGACCGAGCCACCCAGGTGCCCCAGCTAACTGGAATTTAAATAAAAACTTGGAAGAAGAAAACAAAAGAAGTAGAAATACTATATGATCCAGTAATTCCATTACCGGGTATTCAACCAAAGAAACTGAGAACACTAATTCAAAAAGATGCGCATCCCTATGTTCATCACAACGTTATATACAATAGCCAAGACATGGGAGCAACCTAAGTGTCCACTGATAGATGAGTGGATAAAGAAGATATGGTATCATATAAATATAAATATATATATATATATGGTATACATATATGTACATATATGTTATATATATATGGTATACACACACATATGTAATGGAGTAAAGAAATGAGATCTTGCCATTTGTGACAACATGGATGAACCTAGAGGATATGATGCTAAGTGAAGTCAGTCAGAGAAAGGCAAATACAATATTATTTCACTTATGTGTGGAATCAAAATGAAACAAATGAACAAACAAAACAGAAACAGACTGATCAATATTAGCAATACAGAGAAAAAACTGCTGGTTGCCAGGGGGGAGGGGTGGGGGAGGGGCCTAAAAGGTGAAGGGAACTACGAGGTACAAACTTCCAGTCATAAAATAAGTAAGCCAGGGAGATGAACAGTATGACATAGGGAATACAGTCCACAATATTGTAATAACGTTGTATGGTGATGAATGGTAACTACACTCATCATGGTGAACACTGTGTAATGTATAGAATTGTCAAATCACTCTGTTGTGTGCCCGAAACACACTCTGTTGTGTGCCCAATATATTTTATGTCAGTTAAACTTCAATAAGAAACAAAGTGCAAGATAGACTGATGGGTTTAGTGTAACACTGCGTGAAAATTTCAACAATAAAGTTTCAGATTCCACCTTGCAACTGTTAAAGAAATTACCCCTCGTTAAATTTTATATAGTGCCAAAGAAAATGTCCACAATATCTCGAAAGGCTCAACCCCTTCTCCTGGAATTAATGGACCTCTCTAGAGAAAGTGACCGCAATATCAGGTTTTATTATTTAGATATAGTTCCTCTTTGAACATCTTGGCCTGAAAGTCTTTACTATCTTTTATTTTATTTTATTATGTTATGTTAGTCACTATACAATACATCATTAGTTCTTGATGTAGTGATCCACGATCCATTGTTTGCGTATAACACCCAGTGCTCCATGCAGTACGTGCCCTCTTTAATACCCATCACCAGGCTAACCCCCTAAAACCCTCAGTTTGTTTCTCAGAGTCCGTAGGCTCTCATGGTTCATCTCTCCCTCCGATTTCCACCCCCCTTCATTTTCCCCTTCCTTCTCCTAATGTCCTCCATCTCTTTACTATCTTCTAAGTTTTCTTTAAATTTAATTAAAAAAATTTAAGGTTATTAAAATGCCTCTCCCTTTTCCAGTGGTATATCTGTATAAGGCCCAATTTTCCTCATGTACATCCACCAGAATAACACATCTCAATAATTTAAATGCAGAAGCAGTTAGTAGAGTTCAGTTGTCCTCTAAGAAGCCAGACATTAAAGAGATTTGCTTGACTTACTTCACTTAGCGTAATACCCTCTAGTTCCATCCATGTCGATGCAAATGGTAGGTATTCATCCTTTCTGATGGCTGAGTAATATTCCATTGTATATTTGAATCACATCTTCTTTATCCATTCATCTGTTGGAGCACTGGGTGTTATATGCAACTAATGAATCACTGAACACTACATCAAAAACTAATTATATACTGCACGTTAGGCTAATTGAACTTTATCAAAAAGACAGATTTACAAAAATGTAAATTAATACCACTCTTTCCCCTCAATCTTTTGGTTTTTGATTTTTTCAGAAGTTTTTTATGCTTCCATGGTTATTTTAATTGAATAAATAAATACTTTAAAATTGTCTTAGTATCAAGTCTGAATACACTAAATATTGATGGATATAATACATAATACCCAAAGGTACCTCTTCAATAATCCTTAAGAGTCAAACAGGGTCATGAGACCAAAATGTTTGGGAACTGCTGCACTACATTATATATACATATATATATATATATATATATATATATAT